TTTAAGAAAAAAACAACCTACATGATAAGCAGAATCTAAAAGAATTCATGACTACTATTCTGATACCACAGGAACTACTTAAAAGAAATACTACAGAAATACTAAGAAATACTAAGAAATATCAGAAACCACAGATCTCTCAAATAGACAAATCTCATTTGAAGAATAGCTAAGCAAATGAAAAATAGGACCAAATTAAATGTTAGAAATAAATCACAGTGGTAGAAATTAATAAATCTCTCTCCACGATAACACTGAATGTAAATGCTCAACTCTCCAATTAAAAGACATAGGGGTGGTGGTCCAGTGCCAGACTAGCCATGGACAAGATGGAGTTTTCTTCTGAGTCTTGCTTCCGAGTCTTGGCTTGGCCTGTTTTGAGACTGCACTTGGGAGGTATTAAGGAGGGAGTCTCCACTCCAAACATCCCAGTATGCAGGACTATCTCTTAAATAGATTTCTCCAAGTGGAACTGCCCAGTGGGGCTGCTTCCTTGTGCATCCCTACAAACTACATCTTCCTCATCCTTCAGAAGGCCATAGACCCCATAGAACTCCTCCTGAGTTCTAGATGGTACTTTGGCTTCAGCATTAACATTCTAGTCCTGTCATTTACCTTGAAAGCAGGTGATAAAAGAGATCAAACTATTTGATCCTCCTTTGAAGCAAGAAGATAAAATTGGATAGAGGAAAAACACAGAAAGGAAGTCTTGTCAGTAGAAGCCTGAGAAGATGAACAGATTAGAGAAGCAACAAGACTTGGGAGGCAAAGTTGTATCCATCAAATTACAGACTGAGAAAAAAAAGGATGTGAATATTTAAGAAAATTGGAAAAATCCTTCCTTTGATCACAGACCTTATTTCTTTTAAGGCAACACATTTTTGAAGTTTTGAGTTTGAAACCATTTAGACTTAACCTTGAGGGAAGGTGTGTAGTACAGTCACCAAGTTTACTAGCTGAAAGTCCTCTACCACTGCTTATTTCTCATGATAATAGCCCCTTGTAAGTGTAAATCACTCTGGAAATGCCTTCAGTATAAAAAGCATGTCCCCTCCAATAGCAAAGCATTCACACTGGGGAAAAAACCCTATGAATTTACTGAATGTGCAAAAACTGTTATGCATATATCACATTTCACTGAACATAGAAGTCATTCTGAAGGGAAACCTTGTGCTTCTAAGGAATATTGAAAAGCCTTTAGCTAGATGACAGATTTCATTGAGCAGCAGAAAATTCATGGTAGAGAAAAAACAGTGAATATAGCAAAATACCTTTGACTATTAGAAAATTTGTATTAGAAAACTGATTGAACTGAGTATGATAAAATTTTCTCCCAAAATTTATCCCTTTCTCTGCATATGAGAAGTCATACAGAAAAGCCTCATAAATGTAAGAAATGTGGAAATATCTTCAGACAAAAGTAAATCCTCATTTATCAAAAATTTCATATTGGGCCTGGGGCTATAGCTCAGTGGCAGAGCACTTGCCTCGAATGTGTAAGGCACTGAGTATGATCCTCAGCACCACATAAAAATAAACAAATAAAATAAAGGCATTCTGTCCATCTAAAACTCCAAAAAAATTTTTTTGAGTTCATATTGGAGAGAAACCTTGTGAATGTGTAAAGCTTCCATTCAGATGTCTCACACCTCAGTTAGCAGAAAATTTATAGTGGGGAAAGCCCCTTTGCCTATAAGGTATGTGGGAAAGTCTTCAGCCACAAATTCAATCTCACTAAGCATGAGCATTTTCACAATAGAGAGAAACCCTTTGAATGTAACGATTGTGGGAAAACCTTTGGCCCAAAGCAGTATATCATTAAACATCAGAATACTCATACTGGAGAGCAGCTTTGTGAATGTAATGATTGTGGAAAATCCTTGAGCCAGAAGGAAAACCTTCGTACCCATAGAAAATCCACACTGGAAAGAAACCTTTTGAGTGTAAAGACTGTGGGAAAGCTTTCACTCAGAATTCCAACTTCATCAGATACCAGAGAACTCACCCAGGAGAGAAGCCTTTTACATGTAAAAAGTGTGGTAAAACCTTTAGTGGTTTTATTGAGCATGAGAAAATTCATATTGGAGATAAACCCTTTAAATGTAATAAGTGGACAGAAGAATTACCTTATAAAGTATCAAAACATTCATACTGGAGAGAAACCCTATGAATGTAATGAAGGTCCATACAGGTAAGAAGCCTTATCAATGCAGTGAATGTGGCAAAGCTGTCAGCCAGAAGTCACACCATTTTAGACACCAGAAAATTCATACTTATTAAAAACCCTATGAATATCTGGGAACATGTGCATCAGAAATTTATATCTCATAATGCATCAGAAAGTCATTCTGAAGCAATGCACCACAAATGAGATGAACTTGTACAAATGCTAACAACTTTCAGAAAACTGAGAATTCATTTAGAAGAGGAAGAAATTTGTGTGATAAAAAGACTCTGCCAACAACAAAAATCCTACAGTCAAAATGGTATAGGTAATGTTGAAACTATGGAGGTATTCCCACTAAAATTGTAACAGAAAACAAGCCTGCTACTCCATCAACATAGATGTGAAGTTCTTCACCAGTGGAATTTTAAAAAATGAGTTATGTTAGAAAGGAATAGACCAAAAACAGATGGTATGATCACCTAAAAGAAATGAAACTCTGGTGGTATTAATTCAGCAGAGGGCAAGAGATTCCAGAAAGAGACCTATGCATTTAGTAATACTTGCAATATTAAAGAAATCTGTCAGATGAGGAAATATGGGACAATTTAAAAAATTATTCGGAGGTAATTTGTTCTCTGAAGAGGAGAGGAAAGAAACCATGATCACACAAGCAAAATTTATGGGGACTAAAGAGAGAAATATAAAAAAACCATGTACTAAAATGTCTGTGACCTCGGGAGTAGGGAAACATTCCTTCATATGAACAAATTTTAAAATATTTAGCAGTTTTAGTTTTAAATGTATATGCTTAGAAGATAAGTACTGGGAACTTTCCTGTGGCTTGATTTGCTGTGGCTGTCAAATATTGGAAACAAAAGCCCATTAGGAACAGAAGAAAAATTCTTATGATGGGATACTATACATCTGTAAAATGCAACAAATGAGATCCACATGCTACTAATGGAAGGATCTAAAATTAAAATCACATTAAGGGGGGAAAGAGTGGCAGAATGATACATATAATATAGTAACTTTTTGTAAATTTGAATTAAAACTTCATGAAATTTAGCACTTTATATTGGTAATGAATATATATGTGTATGTAAATTTTCTTAAATGAATTGGAGAAATACAGACCAAACTTTTGATAGTAGTGGCCTATGAAGAATGA